CGTAATAATTAACATTTACACAACACTCTAAAAGTATTGGTTCTATTTTAAATAAAACCAGATTAATTGCACGCAATAAGCTTGGGACTAAGAAGAAAGATTCTTCTGTTCCCACCTTATCATCTTTTACTGTACTTATTATTCACACGTACCCAGAGGGAGGATTAGAGGATCAATCCTTCTCTGAAAAAATTTGTCTCTACGTATTCGTTATGTCGCCCTACCAAAAATCCTGGGCACGTGCCTGCATACAATCCAAAAGTCTATAACTGGTTCAAAAAAATTCCGTCACTTGACTTGGCTTAGCTTTGAAGATAAAAGGGTTTCATAAAAGGCTCAGTGCTGCACAATTCAAATTTCATTGGTTCGAAATGTTTATAAATAACACTGCTCAAAACAATGTTGCGTCACTCTTCTAAAAAGATATCATGGATTTTATACGAAAGCAAACTCAAAAAGATGCTTCTGCCATATTGTTTAAAGAAAATCTTTTCTGACATCAACGTATAAATAAAAACGGTGGTTATATACAATTAGTAGTTGTGCTTTATCGATTCATTTACAAAATAATGTGTAAATGGTACACATAAACATGATAATACTCAGTTTCCTGCACATGTCGATGAAGTTGTTCTATTAAACGTAAAATTGTCGAGGATATAAAAACACCAGTTCAATAAATTTACAATAACAAACTTATACAATTCGTAAGTAATCTTTTTTTATTACAGTATTTAGTGAGTTGGCATCTTGGTTTATACATATGCGTTACTGATTTTTAGAGACGGAAGCATGCATCTGCTGTTTCAGTATCAGTTTTTGATTATATGGGAGCAGCAGCATATCGTAACAGACAAACACTTTTACCAACATTCCAAAAAAACTATCAGAAATTGTTGTACCGCGACCATTAACAATAACATCAATACATCAACCTTTTCTGTTGTATGATACTCCTGCTCTAGAGATCGAGTCTTATGTAAGAATCTTACCAGAAACTTATAAGTCTCTCACCAGTCTCTTATAATATTCTTATAAGAGTCTTATCAGTTTCTTATATAAGATTTCCGATCGATAGTTGTAAGTGTCTTATAAGAATGCGATAAGATTTTCATAAGAAGTTCGTAAGAAAGACATAAGAACTCTCCAAGCCGAATGTCAGCCAGAAAAAAGCTTCATCTACAGAATATTACTATAATCTCCAGTTCTACACTGTAAAAAATAGTCGTAGATTAATAAACTATCAAAAAGGGTTTATTGAGACCAATAAACCTTTTAAAAAACGGTTTTCCGTTTTTTATATCCAGAAAACTAGAAAGCGTTCGTGATAGATGCAAAATGAAAAACTGGCGGTTTTTTATCAAAAATAAAAAAACCCTTTTCAGTTTTTTGTCGAGTCTAAAAAACTAGCTAAAAAACTGAAGAGATTTTTAGCTGGTATTTTAAACTCGACAAAAAACTGAAAAGGTTTTTTTATTTTTGATAAAAAACCGCCCGTTTTTTATTTTGCATCTGTCACGAACGCTTTTTAGTTTTTTGGATATAAAAAACGGATCTTTTTCTTATCTATATGTCCGTCATGTTCTGTTCTGTACTACTGACGTCATTACTCTCTTCCATCTGTTTCTCGTATGTTCAACTATATGTAAATTTTATATATAAATAGCTGTGTTTTTAAGTGTGTTTTCATTCAAGTTGATATTTTGGAAGATAACAGTATCTATAATAGAAGGGAGGTTATGCTTTTAGCTTCTTGTCTTTATTGGAATGCTGATGGAACTTTTAGAACAGCCCCATAGTTATTCCATCAATTGTACAGTATTCATGCGTGAGAATGATCTAAGTATGAAACCAATAGTATTTGCTGCTATACTGAATAAATCTTGTCAATCATACGAACAAGTACTACGTTCATTAGTTTCATATGTTGAAAGTTTAAATGTTAAATTAAAGCCAAAATCAGCCCTCATAGATTTTGAACAAGGTGCTATTGCAAGCATTTCAAACTGTTTTTCCAGGAATTCAAGTTAAACTATGTCATTTTCATTTTGGGCAGAATATATGGAAAAGAATTCAGAAATATGGTGTATCGTTAGAAAGTTGTGTCTCTCTCTTTCTGTTCTACAAGGCTTTTTTTTTATTTACTCAGGTTTAGTTAAACTTTTTAAAGATGAACAAGCGCAACAACAATTAGCTAATCTACTATCATTACCATTAATGCCACCAGAAGAAGTAACTGGTTCATATTGTCATATTGTTAAGGATTCAGTAATATGGATTATAAACTATTTAAGTGAACAGATTATGATTTTGAGAAATCATACTGAATGCGAGATATCCTATCGAAAACTGGAATCATTTTAATTTAATAGAAGAAAGACCACGTACAAATAATCATATTGAATGATATCATAGTCAATTGAATGTGTGAGTGTTGTTTTTCATCGCGTATATTCTGCAGTTCTCATGTGCTGTTTCGATTTTTAGACATATTAGAATTCATCCAAACATGTGGAACTGGATGACAAAAATCAGAAGAACTATCAGCTATATGTGTTGGAAAAGAAGAAAACAAGCTGTTGATCATGATATATCTAAAAAATGTTTGGTGATCAAAAGTACATTTACTCTATTTAATTTAATTTTTATTTGGAATATAGAAATGAGATATTGTATTTCTTTTGAAAAACGCAGTTTCTTGCCAAAATATTCGTTTCTCAAAAGAGATCCATTAAAAAATATGGATTTGTATCTCTTATGAGAAGCTTCTATTTCTATCGTTCTATTCGATCGTGTTACTCGTTCTGTCAAAAAAATAGTCAAAGATGATAAGGTGGGAACAGAAGAATCTTTCTTCTTAGTCCCAAGCTTATTGCGTGCAATTAATCTGGTTTTATTTAAAATAGAACCAATACTTTTAGAGTGTTGTGTAAATGTTAATTATTACG